TCAACCCAGTAATTTAAAAGTATTTTTCTGGATCCAGTGTTCCCAAGATAGTCAGCCCATTTGCTCTGGTTAACATAATATTCCAATTACAGCTGGCGGTGACGGTATGTAATGTAATCTTCCGAGTGATTAGTACAAGGAAAGAAATGTGCNAAAAAAAAGGGATTTCAAAGCATTTCCCCCACATGAGCATTGAAAACCTGGCACACAAACCCAATCTGTGACATCTTGTCATCGCACGGGGAGAAACCAGCCAGAAATTATAAAAGAATTGAAATGTTCGCAAAGCTTCTTTCATACTATACTCTAGGGGGGGAAACACTTCCCAATGAAAAGTGAAAGGGGTAGATGATCCATTGTTTTCCTATGAATTTGATATCACTTAATATAATGCTACAGGTAAATCTAGTGGACAAGCATCAGGAGTTTTTACACGTGTGTGTAAAAAAAAATCTATCAAAAGCACAGCCTCTCTTCTGTTGCATCTGTTATGTGAGATTGAACAAAGGGCATCACTTGGGAGTTCGGTGGCTCCAGCTGCTGTGTGAATGGTGTGAACACTGGTGTGTACCAATTCCCACTCTAATGTGGTGAACACCATATAATAACACCCTAATTGATTAATTAGGGCATGAAACAATGCACTGAGCAAACCTAAACACCAGCAATCACCACTTGCCAAAATACCTCCAACTCACTATGCTTTGGGGATTGCAGAAGAATTTATGGTTTTGTGTGCTTGCCAAATTCTCTCTTTTCTACCTTACTTTCCCTGCTAAAGGCACTGAATCTGCTGGGCAGCGACTCAACATGGATCAGCAGCCTCCAGTACCTCCTGCAAATGGCCATCCTTCACCTGTGATCCTGGACAGTTGCTTTGGGCTGGCTATTTGACCACAGCTGGCGTGACACAAAGTGACACAGACACACTGAGCCCCAAAGTGACTGATATCACTCTAACACAAACGCTCTAAGGCTATGTCTAGTGCCAGGCAGATATCTACTAACGCAACACAAACTGGTGATTGAACTTGCGACCTACTGGTCTATATAGCTTAATGCTTTACCAGACTATGTTTTAACCCTCTCCCCCCATATTTTCTCTACCCTAAATTGAACCGTGGGAAATTACAGAATATATTTAATGTCAGAGTTTGTTAGTGCATTGGTACTGTGTGTGATATTGTGATGGAACACAGGCTCATATTTTATAGCTCCTGATCTCAGGTACTGGCTTCAATATGAAGCCAAGGCAACACAGAAAGGCATAGAGGGGGGGAAAAAAAATCACTCCCATCCATCTCAGAGGTAGCTCAAAAAATGAACTGATGTAGGCTTCAAGCAGGTTATCTGCCCAACCTTTTCTCCAGGAATGATTTAAAAGGGAGAAAGGAGATAAAATGATTCAGGAGAGCTTATGTATAATGCCCTGTCCAGTCAAATGACAAACCAGTAAATACTCAAGAGTTCCTGTAGCTTAGTGGTTAGAGCATTCGCCTCGCAAGCGAAAGGAGCTGGGTTTGATTCCTGGGCAAGACAAAATGTTTGGTAAGTTTCTCTATTTATCTCTATTACCTAGCAGTAAGTAGGAATGGTTGTTAGTCAATTGGCAGATCAAAAAATTAGTAACTGAATTTTCAAAGTATATTCCGTGGAGGGCTTTGAGTTGTCCCAAAAAGATGTGATAAGGCACTATATTCAAAGATTATTATTACTCAGTCATACGAATAATTGCCACTTGGGCAAGATACTAATGGCATGTGTGGACCATATCCTAGTGCAAGAAAAAAAAATCTAGCTCATTAGGAGAGAAAAATAATGGTGGTGGTGGGGAAATCTTAATTTTATAGCATCATTTCAAAAAAGCTAAAATGTCCTTTTTTAATGTAATGGTTAAGAATCCTACTGAACTCCATGATTTAATGGTAAAGACAACTGCCAAGGCTCCATCGTTATACAACAACTTCGATTTATATAGTGTCCTTCATGTGGGGTGGCGTCTCTGACCGTTTAAAGGGCAGAAAGTTTCAGGTTTGAATCCTATGCTGGGTTGAGTTAGCTGATTTTTGCAGACACTAAATCAGAAAAGCTGCATTTTTTAATGAATTGCCAAAGAACCCTCAGTACTTGGAAACATATGCTTGTGGCTAGGTAAGTATTAAAATAAGGAAACACTAGAACGCCAGTGAACTACGGAATTCATCTCTTCCCTTGCTTCTCCCAGTCATTAAATTCTGAAGATTGTTTCTCAAATGAAATAGGGCAGCTTTATTTGAGCAAAACCGTTAAAGTGAACAGCTAGTGATTTTTGAGTATGACGAGCTAGTGTATAAGTTGTCACTAAGGGTGTTTTGGGCCTGTCTTGTGCTAATTTTTTTTTGCTGTGGAGCCTCTTACCTACAGCGTATTATGATGTATAATTGTGTGTCGGCAACCAAAAGTAAACAATCAGTACACAAGAGGTTTGGATGAAAAAGGTTCTTCAGCCCATTTGATCTCATCCTTCCAGATCATCCATCATACTGTCCTCCCATGACAGCATCAAGCTGTTTCTTAAACAAGTCATTCAAGCACCCTTCCAGGTAACCTGTTCCAGTCATTATTTACCCACTAGGTAGAGGCGTCTTGTTCTGAAATTGCTCTTTGCAACCCTCAACATATGCCCTCTTGTTCTGCTGTATATCTGAAAGCTCCAGCATTATCACATTCAGTCAAGGAAATGCTTCATCCATTCTGTCTATAATTTCACTTGCCAATGTAGCAGACAATTACCACTTCCATGTCCCTTTCTTTCAATCAGATGAAGGTGTAGAAATGTATGACACAGTAGGAGGCAGTTCAGCCCTTATTTCATGTCAGTGTTTACTCCTCCAAGAAGCCACCTATCCTAATCCAAATTCCCCACTCGTTCCCCCTACCTTAAAAAGAGATGCAAGCTCTGCAGTACTTATTGTATTTTCTTTTGGTTACAAAGATCTTATAAATATAGCCAGATAAACATTTTTTGACATTCCGTTTATTCTGAAAAACAGTGCATTGTTTGTATCTCCAAAAATAAGGCAATAAATAACTGATTTAAAGGTCACAAGCAGTCAACATGTTTAAACTAAATTTGAATTCTGGGTCCACAAATTTCTGAGTTGAAGCTTAGGAAACTCTGTAAAGATGTAATCATTAAATCGAATGCAAATGTTACAGAGCAAGAGTTCAGGGGAGAAGAATCAAGTCTGGATGGAACTACTGGATTCATTTTAAAGTTAGACATAGGCTTAGTGATGAGAGATGTGTAAGGAATATTAAGCAGAAAGTACCCTTATTAAGTTGGTAGTATCCTTGCCTCTGAATCAGAAGGTTGTGAGTTCAAAGCCCTTCATCAGAACTCTGAACTCCTAGTCATGGTGAGTGCAGTGGAACTTTCTCCTGGATTCCATGACGCTATTCAAAATATTATTTTTTTTAAAAAGGCACCTTCATAGATGAAAGCAACAAAACTGTATGATTTTTTTCACATCAACAAAGGATATGCGATGCAATGTGCAATGTGGTGTGTGCACTCTAAAACCTGCACTGCTGGTTACAGGAATGCATGCATAACAACACACTGTAACAAGGTGGATTTCCAATACTCATCTGGAACAATAATAATAAAAAATAAAACCAATAATAAATTGGTCATTTCAATCCACGATTGTTTGTGGGACACTGCTGTGCACAATTGGCTGCCGCATTTCGCCCACAAATATAGTCAATTAACTTTACAGTCTATTCTACGAAGCGCTTTAAGACATCTAGAAGATGTGAAAAGCGCTATATCAAATGCAAGGATTCTTACTCGCAATGCACGCACCCCTCACTATCGCCAAATACACATTTGATATCTATAAATTAATTTAGCCCAAAAATATTTTTTTTACAGATGGATTTTTGCTTCGAACTGGTATTTATCTGTGAAAAAAGGTAGGAAACTATTTTGGGACCTTAGAAATGCACTACTATAAGGTCAGTATTTTAGCAATATAACCAGTTTACATTTATTGTCCATCCCATTTTGTGTTATTTTGGAGAACAAGGCTGGGGATATGAAAAGACAGAAAGCAAAATCTAACTAGAGGAAACCACAATTGAAATTGGCAGAGCTCATTTACAGTGTATGTGTTTAATATTAAAGAGGAATTTAAAGCAAGTTTTCAATTCATATGACAAGCCTCAAGCAGGAACATAAAAACATGAATACCCAGCCAAATAAGTCCGTTCTTTTTATTGGATCAAGGCATTCCATTTCCTTTAAGATCCTTACTTTTATCCATTTAAATATACTAATTACTTCTCTATCTTCAATGGCATTGAATTCCACCTTTTCGTAGCCTGTTGTGTGAACATTTTACTGAGGTTTTAAATATATAGCTCTAGCTTAACAAGTGGTTTGGTTTTGAATCAACCAAATTTTGATTTTGAATGACTGGTGCTATTTAGTTGTTGGGCTGAGTGGTATGAAAATGTCATGTATATGAACAGTGGGTGGAAGTTGGCAGAACTATTTGAAATGAAAGGAGTATGACTGCATTGGGATAATTTGAGTCCAACAACATTCCTCTCAGAATGTCAAATGCAGTTTTGAGTCCTATAAATTGTGCATTTGTCAATACCTAGCCGAATTATTGGACATTGTGCACATATTCAGAAACCCCAAATGGAAGTTTAGTGGAGACATTTTGCATCAACTATTCCGTTCTGGGGTTTCTTTTCCAATTCGCATCTTTCATTTGCAACAACTTAATTCTGTGTTGTTTTTGTTAGTGATCATTGTGGCTGTTGTGGGGAAAATTCCCCTTGCAAAGCTGGATGCGTTTTCCTTTGAAATAGCTCACAAGACTAAATATAGGAGACACACATTAAAGGATTTCATTCACTGTAATCCTAAAACTCTTGGCAGGATCTATCTACTGTAGTTATGATTTCCACTAACATTTGGAAATGAGAAGTTCAATGCTAACCAAACATTTTCTTAGCATTTGCTTTTATTGATATCATAATATCTCCCCCCAAAGTAGGTTTGTGTACCAAATTTGATTCAGGCTTACCTTATTTAGATGATACAAGACATCCCAGAAGAACTCTGGGGCTATCTAAAAACAGCATAGTGGCAATGTGTGGCATTCCAATTTAAATTCTCTTTAACTTGCACAGCATTTATTCCATTAACCATGGCATTGATTGGTAATTATTATAATCAAGAGTAGTTTTATTTTTTTTAATAAAAACATCTGTATTTGCAGAAGGTTAACTCAATCTCCAAATTAGCGACCCCAGGTGCAATAATTCTGATCAGACATTAAACCAATACATTATAAAAGATTTTATAGGTGTAACTAAACCATTTTCAAACTACGTGATATGTACACTAAAAAAATTCAAGCCACATTGAACAGCTTGTAACGTTTCAAAACAATGTACTGTCCAATGCATTCAATGTGATTTTCAGTCACCTAATGCAGCGGTACATCATGAAATCTATTGTGGTACATCTGGGAAATTTGCCGATTGAACTTTCTTCCACTGGAGTATAGACTTTAATTTGTCTCATGTGAGTGTCTCTTCCATTCTGATGATTGGCCAGCACAGCAATCTGTATCATAAAGGTGCGGATGGGCTTCTTGTTAACATCAGCAAGAGGAATGTGAATCCAGCCACTGGGCTCAACCAGTTCTAGTTGCTGTAAATTAAAAGAAAATAAACTATCAAAAATGTGTTGTCATTTGTTCTCAACATAAACCGCAATTTACTATAATAAGCCATAATACATTATCTGTAACAGCTTCTTGAAATAAGGGGAAATTAATCTTTCAAATTATCTTTTTGATAGTTTCCACTCTCACACCTACTACATTTTTGGCAAGGTTTTGAGTCCACCTTTCAGATGAGTTGTGAAACCAAGGGCCCAGGCATTGCTCAAAAAGAAAAGGGAGCTTCTGCTAGTGTCCTGGGCAACAATTCCCCAGATAAAGAATACAATGGATTGGTCGCTTCATGGCCGTTTGTGGGGCACCGTTGTGCGCATTGGTTGCCGCATTCACCTACAAAATACAGTCTCACTGCATTCTACAGAAATGACTGAGGCGTTTTGAGAGGTTTTGATGTGATAAGATGCCATATCAATTGCAAGTAATATTACTACCATAAGAACAGTTACAATCTCATGCGCAATAAGAACACTGGATAGCTCTCTTTGTCCCGTAGACAATAACACACAAATGATGAGTTGGAAATGATCTTTATAAATTTATTGCACATAGATTGCGTGATATAGCTCATGCTAAATCTTAGCAACTTGTTCTTCCACTCAGTGCCCTGAAACACAATCAGAGGCTCCCCCATCCTCATTGAGTAAACAAGCAATCTAAGTGAAGCCAAACACAATACTTTGTGAAATGATGTATGGACACCACATGTAAACAAAATTGTATTATAGATGAAAAGCACCATAAATATAATACATCTGCCTTTAATTTATATAAATTTAACAACACAGTAAAACCAGGAGTTTGTTTCCAGAGTAAATTTAGTTGTTTTATTTGAAACTAATAGTTGACAAATTCACTTTGAGGAACAAGAGACACTATTAATCAATCGATAATCAAAAAAAATGTCTTTCGAGTTAATCTGAAGATCAGTTGCTACACTGCCAGGGCTGTCCTTAGCCTGATTTGTCTTTGTCCAACTGAAAATAGATGGTGCAACTCACTGAAGCACTAACATATGCCACAAAGTGGGAGCAGAACATAAATATCTGCAGCCATTCCCGTGTCGTGAGATACTGAAGTCAGCAATATTATCACTGCACAAAAAGAACAATCATCCTAACACTCTCCTGTATCTACCAACAAAGACCTGTGGGCTATTCTTATCTGGAGATATACATTTATATGGCACTTTTCACATTTGGAGGACGTCCCAAAGAGCTGGACAATTAAAGGTTTGCACCCAAGCTGTGCGGTACGGGAGGATGGCTGAAAGCACAGTCAAGGAGGAAGGTTTTGAGGTAGAGCTCGAAGGAAGTGAGAGAAGGGGTGAGGCAAGGGATTCCCAGATGGAGTTCCAGAATGCGGCAGATGTGCTGAAAGCCTGAATGCAGATGGTGGGAAAGATGAAGCATGCCAGTACCCGCTGACCAGAGGGAGCTAGCAAGTTAGTTGGGTCTGAGAGCATGAAGAGATTTAAAGGTTAGGATAAGAATCTTGAACTTGATCCACTGGGGGATGGGGAGCCAATACAGCCGGACGAGGATGAAGGTGATATGCTCGCTGAGTCTAGAGTGGGAAAGGATACGAGCTGCAGAATTCTGTATAGTCTACAGCTTTTGAAGGGCAGGTAATCCAGCCTGGATGTCATAAATACATGGACAAGGGTCGTGGGTGGCCAGAGGGGAGATAATAATAATAATCATCCTCGCATTTAATATAGCACCTTATCACATCTTCGAGACATCACAAAGTGCTTCGCAGGATATATTGTAAAGTGAATTGACTGTATGTTTTGTGAGCAAAACACAGTTGCCAACTGCTCAGTGTCCCACAAACAGTCATGGATACAGTGACCAATTCATTATTTTTTTTTGAAAACATTTTTAAGGAATTATTAAGGTGGTGGCGGATTAAGGCAATGGTACAGAGATGGGCAAAACCTGAGAGATTTAAGACTAGAGTCGGAAAAAACACCTAGGTTCCTCACAGGCTCAGCGAGGTGGAGTATTCATCTGTTTTGAACTCCCCCCCCCCCCCCCCCCATACTTTTCTTCTGCTGATGCTCTCCTGTTACTGACTACAGTGTAAATAGACTCTCTACATTTATCCCATTAAATCTATATCATCAGATTTCCACCTTTCTCAGCTTCAACAAACAGTCAAAACTTTGAGATCTCCAGGTGACTATAACTTCTCACCCCTGGTACTATTGTGAATCTCCATTGTACCCTCTCCATTACTGTGTCGACCCTTCTAAAATGAGGTACCTAAAACAACAATAGTCCAATTGCAGTTTAACCAATGATCTGTACAAACTAAATATTTATGCACAAACTTAAAATGACCTTTCTTTTATATCCTAAAGATGCCATAGCTATTGTTGGAAGAAACATAGAAGAAAAAAAAAGTCACAGGGACTTTAGGATTAATAAATTCAAAATCTTAAAGAGTTAAATGTTTTAAAACTTTTTCCCAAAATTCTAGTTGTTTCCAACAAAAACAGAGTAGACTTGTATTTTTCTATTAGAAAAGAGGGGAGTGCATTGTGTGTATATAGTGTTCAAGTACAGCATACATTCACTGGGCTAACATCCCATGAGTCTCCAACAAAAACTAAATGCATGGCACGGAATTAAAAATTGTTTAGCTTGGCTGCATGGACTTTTGACTGTTTTGAACTATAATAAATCACCATGCACCAGGCTGACTATGGAAAATATTCCAAGCAATATTGCCATTATATCCTATTTACATATTCACCTCAATCTTTAATTCAGATTGGAGTAATTTAATATCAACCCAAGGTGTTTGAGGAAGAAAAACTAATAGGTCTCTCGAAAGTATAAAATTTGAATGTGCATTCAGGCTTTACTATTATCTAAGATTTGGTATTTCCTCTGATTCAGGCATGAAAGCATGATGCCAAGTAAAAGTTGCATTTTATTCTTAGTTACTTAAAGAATAGTAAACATGCAGAAAACATTAGAAAAATGAAATGCAAATTTAGATGTATGCAACTTACATAGTTTTCCAAGGTCATTTGGGAATGCTAAATTGAACTGAGCTTTCACAATGCAGACAATAGTAACATTTTCCAAGTGGTTGAACACTTACTCTAAAATTGTGGAGAGCCAACAGCAACCTATTATGCACCAGCATAACCTGCCACCCACATCGCTGAGGAAACAGCTTTCAAACACATGCATTAGGCTCAGAACTTACTAAATCCTTTAACACCCATTCAAATTTTTACAACACTTCATTTAGTTGAAAATGCTAAAAAAAACTTAGCTTTCAGTTGTTCCTGCAATGAACCTACTGTTGATGGATCAATTGTGAACTCAGCTGCTATCTAAGATATGCAACCAAAAAATGATTTTAAAACAAAAGTGCCTAGTGCATTATATTCTTCGCCACAATTGTGAAACACATTGAGCGATAAAAACTGTTGGAGAAGTTCCCAGTGTGCATACAGTATTCATTAATCTTAAAATGTAATATATTGTTGTGCAACATAGAATTAGAACCTTTTCTTTTCAGCATTTTTCTCCAAGATTCTGTAAGCTAAGTCCAAAACACCAAGTAGACAAAACAGTAAACCCCATGACAAATACACACTCTGATAAATGTACAGAGAAATTGGGTAAATTAATAATGCACTATATTATGAATCAATTACCATATAGCTGGCCACTTCAAAAGAAAATTGTGAGACATCCCATCTCAGAATTCTCGGAGAAACTTGCAAAAAACCATGCAACAACCTGCTGTCAGATCAGAGAGCATCAACCTCTGCAGGGAAATTGATTTCACTACATGCAATGATATGAAGTGAACATCTTAACTGCGACAGGGTCATTCCTCAGAACAAAAAGAACCTTTAATTAGTATACATTATGGTATTCCTGAGCGGGGGGGGGGAAGGAGAGAAGATCGGTGGTGAAGATACACAGCAAGAATTGTCACACACACAATAAAGGCTGTGAAATGTTGTTGAAGATGTGGAAGTTTCTCAAGCTCAATAATGTCAGAAATATGGAGAAGCCATTTTGCATAAATTGTTAATTTGTACATCCTGAAAACTACAAAGGGATTAAGTTGTTGGGTCCAAAGAACAAAATCTTGCAAACACTCCTATAATGTTTCTGAGCTCCAAATAAACCACATACATTTAGAATCTGAATTTGACATTCAGTCAATACAAAGAATGTAATTTTTGCACAATGCAACTAATCTAAAATAAAAATAAAATTCACAAGTATTAGTTGTGAACAGATTTGTAAATACAGCAGCACAAAATTAAAATATAGTTCATTAACTTAGCTACTCTGGATGTTGTACTTCAAACAAATAAAATACACAAATGTACTTGAAATTTTACTGCTCCGTAATTAAGTTTTGAAGAAACATTGTTTAATATTGAGTAAACAAATGAAAATACAGGAATTTCAAAAGAAAATACTGTAACAAGATGTAGGTTTTGCACTGACGTTGTAATTATAGTTGTATGGTGGTAATTTTACAGTATGTTGAGAATTACAAAGTGCTATTGAAAGCAGATGCGAGAAAAAGTTAATGTATTACAAAAATATATAGAAAAGCACATACACTCCCTGCTGGTAGATAAAATAAATGGGATTTACAAATGGATTTCAAGGGTTACTTCAAATATTAAATTCTTGTTTTTTTTCCCCACTTCAACACCTGTTAGAATAATTTCTGCAGAAGTCTAATCTTACTTTGCTTATTTTTAAACTTTATATATTAAGGTAAAATGTGAAATCAATTGGTTATTAATGGCAACATCCAGCTTCATTACCATATCTATGGCAAAGCTCCCTTCTTCAAGCTCGTCCTGAACAGCTCATTTTGCAATTTTTACAGCTGCAATTGGATGCTTAAATAGAAGTTTAAGCTAATATAGAAATTGCTGAAATATATTGCTTTTGAAACATTAAATAGCATCAGGATG